CATATACATATAAATAAAAATAATTATATGAATTCCGTTGGTCAGTGAGAGGGTAATTCCAGTGGTGATATCCAATGCTACAAAGCAGCACTGCATCCATAATTGTATAAGGGTCATTCTTGGATCAATCTGCGTCGCTACAAGTAGGAGAAATTTTAAAGAAATCGCTCGTTTGACATTTATACTTGAGATAATCGTAGATGGAGTAAAAAAATACACTTGAATGATTGATCACATAAGCAGCAGCTTTACAAGAAATATGTTCTGTAATACATCGTATGCATCATCTATCACGAATCTTGAATATTTCTAATTTGAACTCAGCGAAAATACTTTTTGACGTTATGCTTAGAAATTCATATAAACCAAATTTCTGCAAATGGTTAAATTAGACCAATTTTCATGAGGTACCCTCTTGAGTTTAAAATATTCAGACTCTGCATATCTTTGAATTTAGCTATTTTCCAGATCGAATTTTTAAACAATTCGTTGTGATGGTCGCGGCTCTGAAACACTGTCACTTATTCAGTCGCGACGAGCCTGTTTGCGTCGGCTGCAGCGGCTGAGTTTTCTGTGCCGCCACTCGCGCCGCTCTCGCTGTGCAAAGTGCGGCTGGGGCTCCTGTTAAATGAACGTGTTGTTGTTTTGTCCTTAGAAACACTGAAACACAAGACGCGATAACTTGTGCTTAGGTTCTCAATCCGTGTTTTTTTCTCCTAGGGCTCGTCATCTCAAAAAAAATCTTACAAATGATTTACTTTTAAATGTATTTTTCATTCTGTAACTTCTAACTTTAACACTTTTCGGTTTTTGATAGAGGAAACTTTTTGAATTCCCAAATTAGTCAAAGATGTACGATTCCACGATCGCACTAATTAACTTTATTTAAAAGACAGAACCTGTGGTGGTAAGAAGCATATCTCCTTAACTTCTGCCGCTGTAACGTTAAAATTCTCACTTCAATTTTTTTCTTGCACGATCTGTGAATTTGCCAACTTTAAAAATTAATGTCATACGAAGAGTTTAACTGAGTTATACATCTAAATAAACCCCTTTGCCGAGTGTCATAATTAGCTGCATTATTTTCATGCTGGGTACTTCGTGAATTCCAAGGATTGGAATTAAGACTAGCGATTAGTGGTGTCGGAAAGCATTCAGCAATTGTCAACATACAATGCGCGAGTAACAAACTGAGACATTGGTTAAGATTTGCTAATTTTAGTGCAGCTATAACGGTGTGAGAGATTAGTGATCATTCACCTCTTATTTTTCATAAAATTCTCTCACTTTATAAAATTTAAGGAATCTTTGTTGAATTTTTATCATGGAAAACTTGCTAGCGAAACAATTGTATTTATTACGCCTCATAAGATTCCGTTTTTTTAGATTATTCTGCCTCCGCTTCAGATTTAATTCTATCAGGAAACTGAACAATCTGACATGCTACCTTACTGCTCCTGACCTATCGGACAAGCTCCATTCTTCAGACGTTCCAGGATCTTTCAAGTAACGTCCAACTGTCCTGGCATGAGGTGAGCGTTGCTTGAGTCGTCGCAGTTTTGATGCTTTAGATTTATTTTAGGATTGAAAATTTTGCTCGTCGTTAGGGCGGTGAACGCAGGTAAGAGCCTCAAATGTCTCCGATAATTAACTTTTTTGTAAAGTTCAATGTTTCGTATTCACAGGAAAGCCCAATAACGAACGACTCATTAAATACAGAAGTTGCCGAGATGAAGCAATGTTTTCGCGATACAAGCCGAATGAGTTTTGATTTCCAAGATCGCTAACATTTCTGGTTTATTAGAATGAGAAATTAGAGGTTATCAGAGATCATCCTTTCATTGCTATTGCAACAAACCTCAATTTAAATATTTTTCAAACTCTCCCTGTTTGTTGAACGAAGGCTACGTGAAGTCCTGCGACGAAAATAATTGACGAGAGGAAACTCGGAACAAGATAACGTTGTAGACGAAAGTTTTCATTTCAGTATCATTAACACGCTAAATAGTACATGATCACCTATAAAGCCATGAAAAGTAATCAAGGTTTTAGAATTCAGTTTTTTTAATAAATTTGCTCTTCAAGGCAAATATGATTCTTCTCTACAAAAGTTAAATATTTTCAACGCATATATTATGCTTTCATATATGCATTTTGAACGCTCATTGTTCTCCACAATGTCCACAATTAGTGTTCTTGTGCACGAATAGCGTTGACAAGATTGGCAGTGCTGAGTACGATGCTGGTTTGTCAGCCAGTTCATCATTGAGAGCCTGAGGACAGCCATCAGGTAGCAGGATGGCGCGTAAGGCGCGTAAATGAAAGCAGGCTCGCATACAATCAGTTCTGCCTCGAAAAAAGAAATACTTCGACAATTTTTTGGGAACTAAAAAACTCATTTGAGGTTAATTGAATATTCAAATAATTAAATGAAGGCTACCATTTTATGAAGAATTCTTTTGTGTTGAAATGCGCTCTCACCTTTCGATTGACAAATTCTTCGCTGGACATGGCATCTATCCAGAAAATAATTCGGGGCTGAGGAATGCGATGAAAATATAAATCTAAAATATTTTCCTCGAAATTATGTGCATATTACACATAATGAAGTAAGGAATTTCATCAAGGTGCTTCAAGTAACTATTAAGCTAGGCAAGATCTACGCGAATGTTACTAAAGGTCTCGTCGCCATTCCTCCTACTGGAGATGACCGATTTTTCTTCGTTCAATAAAGGCAAGTGATGTTTTATTCAGCGGAAATACCGCCGGAATGAACCAGTTTTACGAGAGCCTTAATTTTTCCACCGTGCATACAAAATAGGAGATTTATCCCGGCGATATCATGTATAGTTTTATTGAACTGCGAAACAGTAGAATATTTGAAATGAAGTCTTTTCATGCCTTATTCAGTGTAATAAGGCGCAAATCACTAATGATGAGGGGTAATTGGGCTATATTCATAGTGCAGTGCAATATCTTTTTAAATGACAATTTACATTTTTTTACAGAAGTTTTTAGACAATTTGTGACCGTTTATAATATAGCAGAGTATATAGTATATGCTCGTTTTATGGTGGGACAATTTGAAAATTGCTCGCAATTTTATTACTTATTTCTTCCGATTGTGATACTGCAACAATGCTTGATAATTAAAACTTAATTGAAAATTATGGAGTTAAACCTTCTTTATTATTATTGAAATTGAACATTTATAGGTGTTCCTTTACAAAAAACTACCTCTAAATGTTTTGGTTTAAAATCTGTTTTCAAGCGGCGTGAACAGAGCTGCAACGTTTGTATCATATTCCATTTTTCTCATTTAACCATAATTAGAAGTGTCGTCTTAGTTGAATGTTCAGTTAAGTGAGTTTGAGCTTTACCCATTGGCGTTTTAATAGACTGACATTATGAGGCTAAAGCCCCTTATTAAGAATGTTTGGCAGTAAATTCATCAGTTCGAAATTTACATGGGCTGGACTATATTGTACTATACTGTACACCTGCTACTGGGCTTAGTGAGCTGTTTGGGTTAGTCAGTAGTGATGCAAGAGTTCTGGTTAAATGTCAAACTCTTGTACTGCTGGCAAATTTTGGTCTGTAAAATTGAGGCACAGCTGAAATTGGTGATGTCCCATTTCCTGCCTATGAGAATTATCTAATACCAGTTTCCTCGAATAAAGCAGCATTTGGCATGTTATTTTCAAAGGTTTCTTCTCAGAATATTCTTAAGATACTGTTAAGGGACATATTGGGTGGATTGCTCCGTTAGGCCAGTCCCGTAAGGAGCGTAGTTAAGTTTTAAAGCCAGAGGCCACTCATGACTTTGACGCCAGTTTTCTTCTTAACACGACCGCTTGGAATGGCGCTGCATTTTTTTCTGGTGCAGTAAATTCACTATTCGGTGCAGTAAATACTGTGCGTATAAACAGAAAAAAACCTGCAGGATTGAAAGCGATTATTCCTGCAAACACAAAGATGTTACACCACCACCCACCTCTCTCCACGTGTGGTGAGTTCAAGCAGCGACAGATTTATTGGCATGACTGAGAAGGCATTGAGACTGGGAAGGCAGGACATCTGCTACGCGCTGCTCGTGAGCTAAGCTGGCGTAACTCTACGGGACTTACAATGCCTGACTGGGCTTATTCCTTTTATCATATTTTCGGCCATGAATACCGCACGACAAGGAGGCTTGTGGTGAAATGCCTGCTGTCCCAATCAATGTTAAAAAACAGTATTGCACACTTGTGAAAAATGGCCGGGGCCAATACTAGCACACGGTTTGAAGGGCAAAGCGTAAAATTCACTTTTTTGAAATTGTTGTGAAATAAAGCTTGACCAATTCTTCTTGCAACTCATGTACAAAAATAAATAGCTGAAGTAGTATTTCTAAGAAGGAAGTTAGACTGTTAGAATAAGAAGTTAAGTATATTGTTACTTCAATAACGAGTGAACTTAGAGCGAACCAATCTAGTGAAGAATCCCATAGCAGATAGTATCGCCTGTAGGGCTGCTGACCGCGGTAAGCCAGCCTCTTAATGTCTTAATATTTTGAAACATAAAAATGCTGATTTATTATTTTTTCTAATGCAGTTACCAGCTTGACAATAGTTGAAGTGCTATTGGGTTTAAATCTGTCTATCAGCAGCACTGATACCATTGAAATAATCCATGTATATTTTGTTACTGCTAGAAGTAAAATTTCTCCACTGGGCTTTTTGCGTAAAAAAATATCTTTCAAACCAAAACTAGCTTTAATACATCGATTTAATAATTGAACATCTTTTAAACAGCACCAAATGGCACAGACGAAGAAGGTCTATAAAATTCTAAGATATGGATCGCCTGTCTTTCCCTATTATCCTTGTTTGAAAATCAAGCATCAACAGATCAAACAAATAATTTATAATTACATGCGTTTGTGACTCTCGGAAAGCGTTTCGAGGAAAATAATAATATTATGAATAATTAAAGTAATGGAATTATTTGACCATGTACAGCTGGTGGGTGAGTTCGACGACGCAGTGCAGGAGGACGACGTCGGGGCGGCCGCGGGCGACGCGAGAGCGCGACGTGACGGCAGCCGCTCGCACCCCGGCATGAGACTACGCTTCGGCAAGCGCCAGGCACCGCAGCTCACCAGGGTGAGTATGGTGGTTCTGGTGACTATAGGACCAGGTGACTATAGGGCCGGGTGACTCGACTGAGTCGGGCGGTCCAGGTGACTCGGCTGAGTATGGCGGTCCAGGTGACTATAGGGCCGGGAGACTCGGGTGAGTATGGCGGTCCAGGTGACTATAGGGCCGGGAGACTCGGGTGAGTATGGCGGTCCAGGTGACTATAGGGCCGGGAGACTCGGGTGAGTATGGCGGTCCAGGTGACTATAGGGCCGGGAGACTCGGGTGAGTATGGCGGTCCAGGTGACTATAGGATCAGGGGACTCGGGTGAGTATGGCGGTCCAGGTGACTATAGGGCCAGGTGACTCGGGTGAGTGTGGCGGTCCAGGTGACTATTGGACCAGGTGACTCGGCTGAGTATGGCGGTCCAGGTGTCTATAGGGCCGGGTGACTCGGGTGAGTATGGCGGTTCAGGTGTCTATAGGGCCGGGTGACTCGGGTGAGTATGGCGGTTCAGGTGTCTATAGGGCCGGGTGACTCGGGTGAGTGTGGCGGTCCAGGTGACTATAGGACCAGGTGACTCGGCTGAGTAGGGCGGACCAGGTGTCTATAGGGCCGGGTGACTCGGGTGAGTATGGCGGTCCAGGTGACTATAGGGCCGGGTGACTCGGGTGAGTATGGCGGTCCAGGTGACTACAGGATCAGGGGACTCGACTGAGTCGGGCGGTCCAGGTGACTACAGGATCAGGGGACTCGACTGAGTCGGGCGGAGCAAGTGACTCGGGTGAGTATGGCGGTCCAGGTGACTATAGGATCAGAAGATTCGGGTAAGTATGGCGGTCCAAGGAATATAGGATCAGGGGACTCGACTGAGTCCATCAGCAATGAACCGCGTCCTCAAGGCTCTCTGACATCAGCCTGCGATAGGCTAAGCTTCTTCCCGGTGAGATAATTTCGCTCCAAACGCGAATGAGATAAACGATTGAATGTTTCCTATGAATCTTCCACTTTATTCGCTGATATTGCACGTCAATATTTACGACTGAATCCGACTACAATTGAAGGCGTCTGGCCAGCGTATCATGAGAGAGGCACAGTCCAGCGGACAGCAACTGTAAATTATGTTGTGCTCTTAAAGCAGCGGTGATTAGAAAGGCTTTCATGAGTATTGAGTGTTAATAATAAGCTACCTATTGACATTTCACTCATTTAACATCATCATTTCTCTCTGTAAATTTCACTCTAGTTCAAAAATGTGCATATATTTTTAACGATCTTTCAAACAGAATGAATATTATTTATTTCTTCTTGACCTCAACGCGCATGCAATGTAAGCTCAAAAATGGAATCAAATTCGAGTAATTTCATGATTATTTCCCCTTATCATTATTTGTGTTGGTTAAAATAAATGAAATATCCTCGTGCAGATGGAAGACGCTGCGTCGACGCAGCAGTGAGAGTAGCTGCTGGTCAGGGTCACGCATCACAAACAATAAGGATAATATTGACATGAGAATTACAGAACTTGCTGCTATGCTTTGGTCTGGTCGATTTAGCCAGCTATAACCTCTTCTATTTTTCTTACTGTATCGTTATATCGTAAATTTTAATCATTCATCAATTGTAAAGTTATCATTTCAGATATTTTTGCGATTGATCAGGGAGGTGCAAAAATTGATAGAAACTCGTTTGGAAGTTTTAGTCGGGTGCGCAGGAAAATGATTCATTGTGCCTGAAATGTTTATTTTATTATATTGCTGGTACGTGTAATGCCGAAGTATATAATCTTGCTATTTAGTGAATATAAGTGAGTGGAAGTCCCGAATTCTGCTCCAGACATTATGTTAACATATATATATTTATATTGATTAAGCCGATGAATAAATCCGCCTATATAATGTTAACGGTTCTTGTAACGTCAGGAATTTTGAGTGAAATTGTAAGTATGAACAATGCATCGGCCATACATAGAAAGTCACCAGACGTTCGTAAATGAGTGCAATGATCTAAATATTGCATACCGGCCTCCCCTTAAAGATGTTTATTAATTAAGTTCTCAACCCGTCGTACGTTATCCCAGACGTCTCGAATTTATTTTAGGTATTCTTGATGTGTACAGATGCAACAATATACAAAAATTGTAAAACTTGAGAGATAATTTGTCAAGATAGTTTAGAACCAACAATGGAAAAATTTATTAGTTACATTATTGTGTAAAGTTGGTACCAAATGTTTGTGCGACTGGGTGAACCATACAGTAATAGTCATGGATTGGTTCGTATCTCGACATGATCTCGCGACACGAGACTTCGTTCTACGTTAGCGAAGTACGAAGAGATTGTTCATCACAATATCAATTGGTACAATACTGCCGACGACAGCAATATAGAAGGTTCCTAATTGTCTATATTTTGTGCCGTCAAGGAACCTGGTTTATAGGACACATCACGTCAGCCGATCAACCAACGCAATCTGTACTGTGTCGCTTCAAACGCATAGTATCAGTTGGAAAAAGTAATAAAAGAAATTTGAAGGTCAAGCTTTATTTAGTTGAAGTGTTATCGAATTTTCATCAGATTTATTTCACTCTTGTTTCTTAAATAATTACAGTTCTAAACTCCAATAAACTGGTTACAGTTCTAAACTGAGCAAACTATACTTTCACTGATCGAACTCACTATTACATTTGCTTTTATTAATTTTTTTAAACGCATTAGTGGGCCCAGTGCAGACGCCCAAAAAATGTTGTAGCAATGAAACAAATAGCTAAATTTCCTCCAAAAAGCTCTTACTGATTCACTGCATAAATTATTAGTGGTGCAGTTCTTCATCCTTGACTCAAGAGGCTGTTAGACACAAGCCTGGCTAAAAAGTGTCAGTGTCTGTCAATGCTAAACTCGCACTCATAGGACCCCGAAACTTCCATATAAATCATCATAGGCACGAAAAACTTCCATATAAATCATTGAAATTTCTTTGTAATTTAGTCACCTGTAGATAATTTTGAAACCTGCTATAAAAAAAGCCTCATCTATTTTAGTGTCAAGTCGAATGGATTTGAGTTTCCATTGTTTACAATCTAAACTAACCAATAGGAAGCCTGGTGTTCCTGATTAAAGAACAGAGACTTTGTGTGTTCGGTGAACACATACGCTTTCAAATGACTGACATTATCGTGATATCAATACTGTTGAAATTGCTTATCAACTATAAGGAAAAAAATTGTAGCCTCTAGAAATTTCTTCTATTCCGCTAAGCCTTGATAAAATCAAGAAACTCGTGTCTAACTTGCGCTACGATGGAGCACTCGAGTTGAGTTAAGAGTAATACCAGCTGGATGATAGTGAATAATTATGTAACAGTGCCAAATTATGTTGGAATAAAGCACTTGAACCTCGTTGCATTGCTTTTTTAACCTCTCAAGTTTGCCGATAAATTATCCGCCTAAAAAACGACCATTATTGACACTCCGAGGATACTCTGCAGGGCCGATGTTGCTTTAATTTTTTTAATGCTGTTGCTTTTGACTGTCGGTCCCATTTAAGACCACAGCCTTTGGTGCATTTAAAGCTACACAGCGCACAAATCAATGACAATTTCAGCTAATCATCCAAAGTACAGAAGAAAATAGGAATAAAAAATGATACTAATATGTTAGAGGTCTCGTTATATTGTATTCACATCGCTCTATAAAAGAGGCTTCCGAAATTTGACAACGAAAATTCACAATTTTAATATTATTGGTCTTGAATTTGTTAATATTTGTTAATAAATTTAAATAATATTAAAAATATTCACTCACAATCTTATGGGATCAAACTTAGTTATTTACAGTAACACAGAAGCTGACGATCTATTGAATTTATTGCTAGTGTAAAGTATATGAAACCCATTCAATAAAAAAATTGTAAGAATAGAAGACGAGCATCGGTTATATTGTGGCCCAGATTGCAACGCTCAACTTGTGTTAAAATGTTTCATGGGGCATCTTCAATTGATGGGTTCGACGTTGACTCAGCATACAGCGAGGCAGAGTGCAACTCTTCATTTGTTATAAACGTTTTAAATAAAATAGAGATCGGGATTGAAGTGAAAGTTTATGCAGCGAAGTTTCCTCGAGTTAACCACTAAATGCTTAGGTATATGGGACGAGTTGAGAGAATAGTGTTTCTCAATGACGGAGAGTGGAGAGTGAAATCGTAGACTATTTCCTGTTGATCTAGAGATTTTGATCGGGTGCTAAACATTTTACTACTTTCCGGCAGCCTTCATTGTGGAGAAATTCGCTGGCAGAAATCTCTCGAGCTTTTTCAAGCCAGCTTCTGGCAACACGCCAAGAGCTGCTGCCTCGTTAGGAGCAGCTTGCCACTCTGCTTGCACTCGTTCGCACTTCTAGAGCCTGAAATTACTTTCAAAATAGAAGTATTTTATAAATAATTTTATAGAAACTAATTTGTCCGACGTTTTTTAGAACCTACCTGTATTATAAAACAGAATTTTTTTAATACCATTGACAGAACTTTCACAGTAACAAAATTTCCTAACTAGCTTGCAGCAGAACTGCTACCTAGGTCAAGGTCATCTGTTGTGTGGTAAGCTCTCCTCCTACACTATATAAGAAATGAGTGAAATAAATTCCTTCTGTTGTTCAATACTCATGTTCTAAACATCAACGTACTTCCAAGTTCAGCTCGCTCAGACAGAATGCGTTCTATTAGGCATAATAAAACCAAATGTAAATTGCATAATATTAAGCCCAGTGCACATAAAATGCTTACATTATATTACCTATTGCAAGTTCGGAGGTTGAAAATTTGAACAGAATATGGGACCAGTAGAGCCGAAAAAAATCAGTGAATTGTTACTTTTCATTCTTCTTTAATTCGGAGACAATATTTACCTAATAGTTAATGTGTGTGTGGGTCAGTATCTATACCTATAGTGATCAATTCGATGGTTATTTTAATAGTAATCATTTACTGCACATACAACAAATCCATGGTTGAATTAATACAAGGTTGACCCACGCGCAGCTGCTCTTTGCGGATGTCGTTTGTTGTTCCGACTGTGACGTCACCGTGGGCCCAAAATGTAAATACTGTCGCGAAAGACGTTGTTTTTGTGCCGATTTTGAGATCAATTTAAAAAAAATTGCCCCTGTCTCTTATACACATCTAGATGTGTATAAGAGACAGGNCCCATCTCTCACTCTACCCCATCTCTCACTCTACCCCATCTCTCACTCTACCCCATCTCTCACTCTACCCCATCTCTCACTCTACCCCATCTCTCACTCTACCCCATCTCTCACTCTACCCCATCTCTCACTCTACCCCATCTCTCACTCTACCCCATCTCTCACTCTACCCCATCTCTCATTCTACCCCATCTCTCACTCTACCCCATCTCTCACTCTACTCCATCTGATTGTGTTAGAAAACATGTGTTCAGTTTTCTTCAATGGAATTAGGTAATGCTTTCCTATAAATGTGTACGGTCATTTTGTGGTATTTTTTTCCTCTAGTATTCTATTTGTTTACCATTTCAAGTTTTGTTTTCATTATAAAATGTTAAAATAATAATATATAGTATAAAAAATTTTTTAACTTCAAAAAATCCTTTTGTGCTTTAATTTCTTTGTAAAACATAAGAAAAAATCGGTTTTCATGCAAATCTGCAGTTTGTTTTCTTGATATAAACATGGCGTTGACTAATAAGAATTAAATGAGTTACATAAGAATTAAATTAATTTATAATATTATAATAATAATAAATGAAATTACAAGAATTAAATGACTTTATGTGCCGTCAACTGATGTTGGAAAACATTTGAGAATATCAATGTTCGTTCACTAAATGGATGGTGGCATGACGATTTACTTTTCAGTGGACTAGAATGAAAAATTTTTGAAATTACATTTGTAATCTTAAAAACAAGCCACCAAAATTTTTCACCTTTTCCTTAATTAACAATCGCCACTTAAAATGTTCACTTTGAAGTTTGTTACCAAACAATTATCAAATTTTATTTCAAACAACAAGCTTCAATTGAAATCAAAGTATGCGCATACATTTTGGAGAATTCACACAAATACTACAGTTCCTCAATATTACGATATAAAGGTTCTTTGGTATAAAATTAGGAAAATAATGGCTACCGATGATGATTTGACTATAAACAATAAAAACTGCAAATTAACCCTTAGTTGATTTGTTCTTTAGTTTCCCTTGAGTTATGAGACAAATCCTTAAAATTTATGCTAATTAGCTGTTAATCGCTCTCTTGCAAATCGAAGTGACTGAGCAGACAGGATCGCAATAGCAGTGAACAGCGTGGCCAAGTCGAGCCGTAAAGTCGGCTGAGGAGTGCGAGTGTGAACGGCCTTGCAAGGCTGGTTGCTCGCTGGACTGGTCGGCTGCGCTGGTGAGTCGTTGCCGACTTCTGCTTTCCCGTGGCGGTCTCGCTTACCTTGTCGATGGTTCGAGCCTTTGCGATCCCAGCAACCTTTGCGTTCGTGCAGGACTCTCATGTTTGACAGCATGACCTTTGCGCTGGTCAAAAATGACAGAGAGAGAATTTCGCCAAATGGTAATGAATCACTCTGACCTTTCTTGAACAGCTGCAGTCCAGAGCTGCTGGCTCGATAAAATTGGTTTCTAGCCGAGAACTCTCACCACTTGCTAAATTTTGAGCTAGCCTCTTCAAGGCAGATGCTGCTAAGAAATGAGTGCGTGTGTGCTTCTGGAAGGAGTGCAATTATGACTAGCATATTATCATATTAACTAAGGCTAAACTTTTATCGACTTATTTATTTCCAGATGTGAAGAAGGTTCCATGCAGGGGCTTCATATTTTTCGAACACCATTGATCATTCCTTTATATGGTCCCTGAAAACCATTTTCTCAATACTAAATTACATGCATGGGCCATAGCGTGATCATAGCAGCCTCGGCATACAGCTCTCTGGGTCACCGTGCTGGTCATTATATGCTAAGAGGTTTGCTAGGAAAAACATTTACTCATTGATTCAAGCTTAAAATAAAACCCACATATGGATAATTGTCTCAGTGGTCTCTTCAATTCAACGCATTTTGCAGCATTATGTTTTAACAGGTATTCTCATATTGAGGTACACTCCACTCACAATTTGAAGAGACCTTGGGAATGTTGGTATTAGTTTCCCGCTTGCCAAGCATTGAATAGATTACCTGCAATCAATTTCAAATCAATGCAAATAGATTACTTGCAATCAATTTTCCATGTTATTACCAGTTTTATTTTTTCCATTTTATTTCTAATTTTTTGTTACAATGATCTGTGTGAATAACTCTACGGAACGTATTGATTTACAAGCAATCTTCAGAGCATAAGGTTATGATCGTCGCTGGGTCGCATATAGAGCCGGCATTACGCTAGGCGCAGATGTACGAGCAGTCTCGCAGTAAAGCGGCAAACATTCAAGGAAATTTGTAAGCTATATACAAAGTAATGATTGCATAATCAGATTAAAAAAGGTTTGAGCAAGATGTACTGACTTATAATTGAAGGAATCTGAACAAATGTAACTAGTACTATGAGTAATTATCCTGAATTTAAGCAAATGGCACAAAATCCGTATTAACATGGGTTTATGCAGAATGAAACAAAATTATCATAATCTTTCACTGAAGTGCGAACATGCATGTATCGCACGTACTCAGTCTATGGGTAATTTGACTTCTACTGAATACAAGTCAATCAACTTAATTCTAAACCAGTTAAGCATAGGAACGTTGTAAGCTGTTTAGCAGGATGTATATTTCAGTTCAGTATCTTTCAGTATAAATTGTACAATATAATTTCATTAATAATTAAAGTATAAATTGAAAAGGCACGACTTTGTTTCATTTGCCTTCCCCTTTGTTTCTCCCGCTCCGTGTTTGGCATTCTAACAAGTGAGCGCTCTCCCTAATAAAACCCAATGCAAGGTCGCGGTAACTCGTTGAAGATGAACGCTCCCCTCGACACGTCTCCACCTTGCAAGTCTGTGCCAGGCTTTGGTTGTAAATTAGTTAAAATTACATGTAGTGTGCAACTAAACTTTGCTGTCCAGACAACTAAAATAATTAATTTAATATAAGATTTTCAAAGATTGGTATCAAAATGTATTTATGGTCAGAGATTAAAAGGTAAACAAAACACTTGCATGCCCTGCTCACACTGTACTGCATGATCGACACGTAAACACGGGTCGATCACCCGCTGTACGCACATGGTCGGCAAAAATTTGTGTAGAGATGATGACCATTTCTGATACGCTTGAAATGTTAGGCGACGCACAAGGTGTTAAATGCTCAGCCAACGTCTATTCTGTCGCAACACCCAATAACTGTATAAATTATAACTCAATTAGTTAA